TGCCATATTACCGCCACCTGTAGGTCAGAAGAGTAGTGTGAAACCATTGGCAGGAATGTGTATTGCATCACCTGCATACACAATAACAGACTTTTGTTTTCATATTATTATTTACTGTTATTATTCTATATTATTCTATTTAATTCTTAGGAAATGTAATTTTCATTTTCAGCCAGATTGGAAGTTGACACTTGAAGTTGACGTAGTCGTAGTTGTAGTCGTAGTAGTAGTAGTAGTAGTAGTAGTAGTGCATTTGCAGTACTATAGGCTGTATGAAATGTGATGGTGGGATACTGCCTGCCACTGTGTGTTGGCTTACAAAGAGATCTTTTTCCATAGAAACGGAGTAATCAAGACAGCCAAAAGTGACATCATATGAAGAATTGTGGATATAGCCTAATTTGGGATGGTTTACAGTCAGTGAAACAGTAAAATAAGCTTCAGTTTGTTTATAACCAACAGTACAAGCAAGACTGAGGGAGGTCAGGAGAAAAGCGAGGGAAGGAATTTATACAGCAGCATAACAACAGCTGACACTGTCCCTGCGCATACATGACAACGCAGTTGTCAGTTGAAAAGTCATTCCAGGTCTCCTTTTTTTCTTCAAAACTAGTCATGTATCATTGTCTAGAGAAAGTGTGAGTGACAGAAGCTATATAAAACCGCGAAAGCTTTGGGAATATGACTTGTCTTCCTTGATACTTAAGATAATTAGTATTCACTGCAACCCTGCTTGTCCTCTCAGCACAGTGCAGCATTGCGAAAGCAGTGGGAGTGACTCGAAGGTGTGAATGGCCTTAACCTTGTATTGTTTCTGCCCTCTAGCCTCTTTCCGTTCTCCCTGATGTGTGAAACATTTACTGTGGTCAGGCGCTGCGTTCATCTCTCTGTTCAACAGATGCAATCAAATTACATTACTGTGCAAACGATGAGCTCATGCCGGAGAACATTTACTGCCTTTTCTAAATAGAACATTTCCAACACCAATGCCAAGTGTAATGTCGGTACACATCATCTTTGTGGCGTTGTTTGTTAGCCGGGTATGTGGCTGTGCGATCATGTTCGTTTCTGACTTCACATGCCCACTTCCTCACCCAGTGTGGGTGGGGAGCATTCTGCCTTCATGTCTGTTGCAATGGTCAGTTTGCGTAGGCTTAGCTGTGTAAAGCCTGGTGGGGGGGGGTTCTTTGGGGGCAGTGATGAACTCAGACATGTTTAATCAGATGAGCACAGCAGGATTAGCCTAGTTGGTGACCAAGAACTTGGCCCTACCTAGCTGACCTCCTCCTTCTCCCTCTTTAACCTTAAACCAATTCATGCTGTTTGACATTACTTTCTGTTCCGATCAGTTCTGATGTGCGATTGCTGTTGTTTGTGATATTTTAACATACATAACAATTACTGATTCACTCAGAAGACATTTAAGATAACTCGACAATTAAAATAATATTAAGATGTAGCCCTAAACCTTAAATCTAAATAATTAAATTAAGAAAATGAAGGTGGGTAGGTGACGATGTAATTCTGAAACTGGATCTGTCCCTTTTGCACTCTTGCAACTCTGGCAGGTTGGTATAGCAGTTGAGCCACCCCGTGACCAAAATATCACAGGCTCAAGTATCCCCGAGAAAACCAGCAGACTAGCGTTCACCATTGTTTCCTCTACTTAATCTACAAGCTGTAAATGTAGCTGCAACTTCTGTCTTTCTGTCCCTCTCCCTCTGTGTTCCTTCGCTCTAACTTTTTATGACTGCCGAGGCCACTTTTGGCTGTGGCCTAGTATCCCAATAAAACTGCCCTGCCTTTTCATCCTTTTCTTAAATTAACCAAAATGGCCCTCAAACCTGATTTAGATGAAGGCTTTGTCATATTTAATGATCATTTCATTTCAAACACTTATCTGTTAACAGTTAACAAATCATCACTGCTGACTGTAGGGATGACTGTGTTTAAATGCACACATGAAACATTACTGTGAGAAATCCCATTAAAGCAGGAGATCAGAGAAAATGTTTATGCACTGCAATAACCGGTTTATATTAGAATTTACTTTTATATGCAGCTGATCAATGTAGTATCACGTTTCTATCCTATTCATTATATTTACAGTGTGCATGTTTATACATTTAAGAAGTAGTCTACTGTACAGAACAAAACATTTTGATGTATTTCATTCAGTTCAGTTTTAGAGAATTATTTTGCATACAGTTATGCATCGCAAAAAAATATTTTTAGTTCTTGTGAATTTTTTTTTTTAGTTTCTTTAGTCCTCTATGACAGTTGACTGAATATCTTTGGGTTGTGCACAAAACAAGATTTTGCCTGGGGCTTTGGGAAACAGTAATGAATATTTACCCAATTTTCATTGGCAGATTAATCAATAATTAAAATGATCGTTAGTTGCAGCCCTAATCCACACTTCTGCCACCATGCTTCCCTTGTCTGACGTCTAAATCTTGCAAATGTAAAAAACCCATTAAAACCCCACACATGTCTTTGTTAAACTTTGTTTCTCCTAATCCTAACACTCAGTCAAGGATGTCTGGTTTCTTGTTTTTGCAACGTTGAACAAATCACTGTAGATATTTGACAATAGCTGTTATCTAAACTGTACACTCACAGTACAAAAGTTGTCACTTACACCCCTGACACCAATGCAGAGCTTACTTTCTGGTTAGTTCTAACAATTTTCAGTTAAGTATTTGTTTCCATTACCATAGATATATTTTCTAGGTAATTAAGTTATTATTGCACCATCATTTTGGTTCCCCTACATCAGCCTGCAGTTTCAACACCGCTGCAGCTTTTCACACTCGACACCTTCACTAGCATGTGTGATGAGGTGTCGCTGTAAGAAAGTGGTTTTAATGATGACTATCATTTTCAAGCCTTGTTATATACCTATGTCTTTACTTATAACAGCCAATACAAGCCGCTGTGGCCACTGCACGAAACTGCTTTGGCAAGGACTTCCAGTTCACTTACCACCAGAGATGAGGGATAAAGAGAGTGCAGGAGAGAATAAATAAGTGAAACTGAGTGTCCTGTCTATGTGAAAGAATATAAGGCGAGAGCATGGAGATGTTCGCTGGGATAGAAAGAAAGTGTAAGATTCTCTTTCCCAGAATAAACCTCTTCCCTGGAAGTGGCAGGTGGCTCTGCATCCTATCCACGGCACGGTCAGTGCGTGTGTGTTTTTGTATTTGTGTGTGTGCGGGTTCGGGCAACACGTGAGTCTCCTAAGTGTTTGCCCTTGTGTTTGGCGCTGAGGGAAAATTAATCTCTGAGCTGCTGCACTGGTGCAACATATACATGAACTTGCCTGGCTGTGTTTAGGTCTGTGTGTTTACGTCGCCGACTGAGCTGACATGTTATTGCTTCCAGAGGTCTTTCAGAGTCTGATCCCTCAAGATGTAGAGCATACACCCTTGTAAATATAACAGAAGGGAGATGGAACGCCAGCGAGGATTCAGAGCCAAGGAATGACATTTAGCTGCACAGGCTCTGACGTTATTTCATGGGACTCGCAGTGTTTTCTTGCCCAGGCCTGGATTGCTTGTCATAACACAGGGCTAACACGGCAGCTATGCAGGACGGCTAACTGGTTAGCTGATCAGTGATGTCACTTTGTTAGTGGGATGGAACAGGTGCTGCTTGTGTGGCAGACGCAGCCCCGGCCAGAAATGCTCGGGAAGCCTCGGTGGCGTTACACTTCACACACACATGCACACATGCACACACACATACCCCTTCAACAGGGACAGCTGGTACATATAAAGCAAGAGTCTCAGCTGAGTGGAGCTGAGTTGAATGTCTGTGTCTATGAAAATGGTATTTAGTGTGACAACATTTTTATTCCTTCCTCTGATTTTTATCAAACACTGCTAACTTAAAACCAAGGCGAGCGGTAAGTGTGTGTGTGTGTGTCTTCGGTTTTAAAATGGAAACAGAGTCTTGCCAAGAAGCACAGTGGAAGTATAGTGCAATGTCAGTTATTTGTTGACATCTAAAAAAAAACATCACACCACCAACAAGTGTCTGCAGTGTCAACCCTGTAGCTATTCTGTACATCGTTGCCCTGGTCAGTGATGTGTTGTGTAGTTGTCTGTGCAACTGATTAAAGGGTCTGGCTCACTTCCCTAAATACTCAGTGTTGCAGTGTTGAAATTGATACTGCAGCAAATGATGAAATACAATGCACTTGCATGATCCTGCAGCTGTCCATATTTAAATTGTTATTCTGTAAGATTCTTTATCTTGTTTATGGTTTAACATTGAATTGCGAGCATGAGAGCGAATATGCTTTCATCCCAAGAGTCGAGTCATAAAAATTAGTTTGAATTTAAAAGGTGTCTAGATGAAAACGACTGGGCTGCACAATGCTCAACAACTGAAGTGTTGTCAGTGCAGAAAGGTCAAACATAGTCTAACTCCTTTTGTCCAGGACCGGGTTCCTTAAAACTCTCTCTCCTGGCCTTCTGTGTTATGTAACAACTGCTTCCTGTTTCGAAATTAAAGCACAATCGGCCCAAATGTGTTATTTTTTTTCTCACCTGCTCTCAAATCAAGAGCTCTAATAGGTATTATTTTTCCCTCTCTCATCATTTTGCTGTGCTTGGCTCTATCTCTCTTAATGATATTTGGATTATATGTTTTTTTCACACACATCTGTGCACACAGAAAAAAAAACAAAAAAAAACAGGAACAGGAAGTGTGTAGTAGGCTGCTCACACCCTCCTTGTGTACCCGCCTCCCCTGTAGCTTCAAAAAAGCACGAAAGAAGAAGGGGGAAATGGAAGAATGAATTGGGTTATCTTCATGTCAGCCCAAATGCGTCTGGGTTTCTGTGCAAGGTTATTTATCTGAATGTGGCAGATGGACTGCTGATCAGTGGACAATAAAAGACAATAAGGAAGCTTTAAGAGCTCAGAGCTCCATCGTTGCGGTTTCTAATTCTCACCGGGCGTCACTGACTGTCTCTCTCCTCTGTCTCCATGCAGTCCTCCAGCTCAAACTCCAGCAGAGACGCACACGAGAGGAACTGGTCAGCCAAGGGATCATGCCACGTAAGTCTCTGCTTTAAGTCTGTGATGCTCAGGAAATGCTTTTACTCTATTCAAACTGTTTTCTGCAAACTTACAAACTATCATCGTGTTTAGTTCCATTCTAACATGTACACACGATTATATATACCGTTTGTATATTGTTACATCTACAACCAGTGATACCTAATACACACTGCAGTCAACAATTAGGGCTGCAATAAACAACAAATATTAAAATAAAAAAAACTAGAGCCGTGCGTTTGAGCCAATGTTAAAGTGTTAACCCGTTCCTGATACTACAGCATCAGACGGCATGTCAGACCCTGTCAAAGATTAATGGGGTTGTTGCATAATACCAACGCTGAGCTATATGTGTATAGTCAATTGATTCACAAGTTAAATGGACAGTGTGATATTATGTATCTGACTATATCTCTATACTATACTATACTATACTATATCTACTATATAGAATATATTGGTAAATTGTATCTGTGTGTGTTTGATATCAAAATATATTGATATATTTATACATCTATATACACAATAGTTTGAGACTCTGTTTTTGCATCCAGTATTTAGCTGAAAATGTTAGTTCCTATCTGCATATGTTATCGGTAAAAGTGTGTGTGTGCATTCTGCATGTGTCATATTCGGTGGCGTCTTTGCACCACTTTGTGTTATCAAATAGGGCAGCTTCCTCTTCTTCTGTATCCACTTCCTGTTTTAGAGTTCCGCACATCACAAAAAGGCAAAGATATTTTTTTGAATTTTCCTCTGTTTCTGTGTGGAACGTAGCTGTGGGCAGTAAGTACCTTTTTTCAAAAAGCCTCTTACAAAAAGTGTAACTTCTGCATTCAGCCTCATACAGTATACATGATAGTTGATCTTCTAAGACCTACAAATGAAACTAGTAAACCTGACAAGGTGACTGAGGCCCTGTTCAGACAGAGAAACTAAAGATGCACTGAATATTCTTGGTGAGTTTAAAGGAGGGGAAACGCAATCCAAAATGATAAGGTGGAGGTGAAAAATAGTTAATTTCTCTCAATCACTGACATTTGACAGTTGACAGATGAAGAAACCAAAACAAGCTGCATGTATTTAAAAAATAGTTGTATACCACTGCTGTTGGTTAGTGGTAATATGCACCCCTGGAAGAATTAGATGGCATATAAGTCCACTAAACATGCACTTAAATGAACTAACCTAGCTCAGTGTGCATTAAAAGGATGGGTTGGCCATGAAAGAATGCACTGGAGTGGTCACATTCAACCATTTAGTGGGTACAGTAAATCTTTCTGTGTTCTCCTCATGCAACAGGCCTCGTGCCAAACCGTTGAATTGGGATCTGCATGTTCATCACTCGCAAGCTACTCTTCTATGGAGATACAAAGAGACAAAATGCATAAAGAGGGAGGAAGAGAAGGCACAGCTTTATAAGAGATTCATCAAAGATTGTGTTTAGCTCCCAAGGTGATGTTTTCCTTGAACACAGGTTTCTCACGAGAGCCCTTAGTGTGACTGTTGCCTCGAGACGCAGTAAATATTATATGAAATGGTAAAAGACCAAGGAGGGAGCATCATCATTTATCAACTCTCAGTGGAACCGTATCATGATACAAGCAAATTGTGTTATCATATGTAATAATATAACTAAATTGAGGTTTAAAACAGTTAATTTTGTACAGTTTCCAAATTTTGATGTAGATCAATAATCAACCATTATCAACCATGTTGTTCAGCTGTAGAGCAGACAGTGAATTCTGTGAACTGACTTAGGGTCAGTTTCTGCTGCGGTGTCAAATCCTCACAGTCTTGCAACTGTAGGTGGTGTGAATGACTAACTTTCCACCCTCCCTCTCTCAGTAACCACTGTCTAGGTGTTCTTGAGCAAGGCACTTCACCTCCCACCTGATGTTGTTGCACTGGGTCCATATCAACCGAGCAGGGTGTTTCTGGACAAGACAATAGTTTGCAATAGCAATAATTCTGTGTCTTGAGGTCATGTTTTTACAGTCACACGGCATATTGTGTCTGAGCTGTTTGGCTGATAAATTGAACCACTTGAAAGTTTGAAAATGCTGTGTAAGGAGCATTGTTGAATCAGTAGATCATTATGAGAACATATTTTACCCCACTTGTTCTTCGGAGTACCTGTTCTGTTGCCTTTGACTCTAGTGATGTTTTTTTTTGTGCTTCAGCATAGCCAGATACACAATACAGGTTGTTTTACTGTTCCTGTTAATTGCACATGCATAATATGATGATTGATTTGGCAGTCATGAAGGCCAGCTGTGCAGACATTCAATTGAGTCATAATTTTGTACTTGTGCTGAAAGAGAAAAAAATGTTGTTTAGAGCTACATTACGAGATGAATTGCATTAACATACAAACCAAAAAATAAACTCAACAGAAGGTTAAACATAGGTTAACATTGCTGTCAAAGTGGAAGTATTATGAGATATCGAATAATGTTGGATGATGAGGCGTTTTCAAATTCATCTACTTTATCTATAAACTAACTGATACTAGTCAGATCTTTATTTCATTTCAAGCAAGAAATGTTTTGTTTATTTAGTTCCTGCATGTGACCGGATCAGCTGACCAGTGGTCTGTTTTGTTGTGATCTTGTCCGTTGGTTATATCACAACTGCTATGTAGGTCTTCTTTCTTCTTTGATGAGGAATGCCCCCCCCCCACAAGTCATCCGTGGCACACATGCAGCTGACGCCCCGCTGTAGCCAAAATGTCCTCACTCACACACCTACAGCAAGGGATTTCACCAACTCTTGACCAATCAGATGATTGATGTGTTGCATTATAACTGCCACTGTCCTCCCAATATACTTCCCCAAATAGAGTGAACATCGTTTTTGCTTGTCCAAACTCTCATCTTGACATTTGAATGGAAAGCTTTTAATGTTGAAGACTGTGTGTGTGTGTGTGTGTGTGTGTGTGTGTGTAGGTCGTTTTGTGTCCTAGTCTAATTAACAGTTCAAAATCCTTTATTCAGTGTTGGTTAGTCATAATATTAAATTGGAAAATGCTCTAGGCCCAATACCTTAATGGGACCAAAGTGTGTTATGTACAGACTTTAATTTACAATTATTAATATGAGATAGAATAAAACCCATTAAACATTTTTGATAGTTGATAAATATGATTAGAGCAAGAATTCCATCATAACCAGCATTTTGTAAATCAAGTCTGAGAGAAAACTAGACTTCTGAACCACCTCTGTCCTCGGGCTTTACAAAATCTAGTCCGTGACGGGAGCCAATCACAGGTAATTTCAGAGAGGGGGCACTCCTATTGGGTGTTTTCACAGGGATTCCTGCTGCTGTTTGAATTTGTAGCAGAGAGAAAGGCGTAAGGTTTTGCATAGGTTTGAACTGGTTTTGTCTACAGCAGCTTTAAAGGTCAAGTGTGTAGCATTTAGAGGCATTTAGCGGTGACGTTGCACATTGCAACCATTTGAACACAGCTCAGCCTTCCAAGCATGCAGGAGAAACTATGGTGGTCACAAATCTAGTGAAAAACTAGGCCCTATCCAGAGCTAGTGTGCAGTTTGTCCGTTCTGGGCTACTGTAGAAACAAACCGGTCTTTATTCTGAGGTAACAAATGTACAAAGATTCTTATTTTCAGGTGGTTATACACCAATGAAAACATACCTACCTTCCATTTCTGCCAATAGATCCTCCTTAATGTTACACTTACTGGATTGACTACAGTTAATTGTGGATGTACAGTTTCCAGTCATGGCTGAGTGCAGAGATGAATGTAGATGTTTTTTATGTGATGCAGTCTATCCATCAGTCCACACTCAGTGTCCTTTTAACGATCCAATCCAGACTACTGGTCATCAAGAATTGATGTCTCAGACTCCCAGCAACTGTCCATCCCTCAGACTTACTGTAACACAGACAGTTGGCCTTTGAAATAGTTTGGGCAGTCTGATATCTCTTCTGTTTAAAAGAACCATAAAACTAAACGTGTGTATTTGTCATGTGGAAAGGTATTTTCCTACATTGAACGGGTTGTGTGTGTTGGGGGTTTGAGATTCACCCAGATTAATTAGATCAATTAGTGTCTGTTTTCGTGTTTAACACCGAGTAACAAGAAAAGTTGCCAGGATGAAGACTGAAACCAACTTCTGTCCTCAGTTCAAACTAAGAGAAAGAACGTGGAAAGAACTGAATTGGTGAACATGACCAACCAAGCTACCAGAAGGCAGTATGGTTACAATTAGGCTCATTATGAAACTTCTGAGTAAAGGTTTGGGAAAATTCATGGTCATGGTTACAGTCATGTGGTTCCATGAGGTTCGTCTGGCTTAAAACCTTACCTAAGCTAAGCCACCACTATTGGCTACAGCACAATGATAACATGACTGGCATCTGAACAGCATGTTAACAGGCCAAAAAAAAATCAACCCATCTAGGAAGTTTTCTGAGCAAACATTGCTTTATTCCTGCACGCACAGTGTGCTGCAGTGGCCCATCAGCCTCCTGAGGTGTCATCAGCTAGTGTGGTTCAGAAAAGCACTTCTGACCTTCTCATCCTGCAGCCACTTCTGCTTTGAGTCTGTCTTCCTCTATAGCTGATTATGTTCTCACAGTGTCACTTGCTCTAAGAGGCATCACGACTCCCATCAGAGTCTGTGTGAGCCGCATTCTCATCTCTCTCTCTCTCTCTCTCCTTTTCCGCCTCCATCCGTTTCACCGTGCAGCACTGAAGAGCCCGGCGGCCTTTCACGAACAGCGGAGGAGTCTGGAGCGAGCAAGGGTGAGAGTCTTAAAGTACAGTGATTTTCTCAGTAGACTTGCTTTGTCGAAGCTGTGTGGGGCAAAACGTTTACAGTATGTATAAACAACATAGATCACAAAGCACTTTATGAAATTGAATTCTACTGTCAGGATAGGCACTTATATGCTGCCAGGAAATAACAAATCGAAACCTAAGGTGCCGTACAAATAGTGGTACACTTCAGGGACCAAACCAACAGGGTTACTCAGCATTATTAGCATGTTTTAATAACTGAACTTCAGATCTACTTTCTGCAATCTGGAGCGCCAATAATGCAATAATAATAATAATTGCTTCATGAAACATTTCAACTCTGCAGCTAGTCTGTTTATGTAACGCAATAGTAATTCAACCAATGCCTGGTTTGCTTTTAGTTTTAGCAGTTGCCATTAGCAACGAGAACCATCTTTGCCGAACAAAGAAAAAAAAGCACCAGCTGCAGTATTAGACACAAACAGGTGATCTGTGGTAAGTGTGGGGCTGAACCACTGTGGCAGCGCAATTAAGATGGCAACTAACAAAAAAAATCTATCTACAGTATCACTTTATTGCATTGTAACAGTTGTCAGTTAAAGACTTCCGCACACTCTTTATTGTTTCTCATCCTTTGTCTTGTGATCTGTTTTGTGTGTCTTGTGATCCTCTTTCTTACATCTGCTACCCCTCCATAATGTGTTTTCTCCAGACCGAGGACTATCTGAAGAGGAAGATCCGGAGTCGTCCTGAGCGCTCAGAACTGGTCAGGATGCACATTCTGGAGGGTGAGTTTTTACCTAAATGTGGAACTGCACTTTTAGACTCAAGAGGAACTCCCTTAGTGATACATATAAAAAGTGATCTAAAAGTGTAGAATTAAAGGTGAAATACATGAAACTTGATGAAAAGAAGGAACCACACAGTAAACAAAACAGAACAAATTCCATGTGATAAGGTTCATTTACAGCTCCTAGTTCATATGTGAACTGAATTTCCTGGAAAGAACAATAAAGAATCAATCTTGTTGGAGTTAAATAGCTATTTCTTATCATTTGATGTCACTGCATAAGCACTAACCTATTAGCCTGAAGTGGCTACATAGATATAAGCCTGAAGTTACTTTAGAATGAATTTGATCTTTCTGATGCTTGTATCTGCCAGAAGTCTTCATAAAGTGGCGTCTTTGGTTGCATCATGTATTTTTATGTTTGGTATATCATCTTGACTTAATGCTGTCCCTTTATTGTAGTTCTTGTTAAATTAGCAGCTGCTGTGGGTTTTAGTTTGGACTCTAAAACTCTATAGAAACTCCCATATATAATATTTATTTATCATTTTACATCTTGTGTTTACAATGCACGTACCTGATGGTATCTCGTGCGTGCTGTAGGTCAAAAAAGAATCACTTAATCAATGAAACTGCATGCGTGCGTGTTATCCTGCTGTGTCCTTGGCAGAGACGTCGGCAGAGCCGTCCCTGCAGGCCAAGCAGCTGCAGCTTAAGCGAGCACGACTGGCTGATGACCTCAACGACAAGATCTCCCACAGACCAGGTCCCATCGAACTGGTTCACAAGAACATCCTGTCCGTCAGCCTCCCTGTGCACTCACCACTGGGTAACTGCACACACACACACACACACACACACACCATTCAGTTAGTAGTCGCAGACTGCTTACTGTCTAAATGTCCTCAAACATTTAATAAGAACATTCAGGTGCTGCAATAGAGACATTAAACAAACTCGGTCACATTTGCAATAATTAACACACACATTACATCACACACACACACACACACACACACACACACACACACACACACAAACAGATGGACACTAAAGAGCAATCAAAAAACCATGCAGACACAGCACAACATGTATACACACAGATACAAACACACATAAACATAATATAATGTGTCCCAATACAACATTTATAATAACATACAGTACACCTGGTACAGATGAAACAAAACAATACAGTCTACAGAAAACAACATTACATTCTTACATTCAAACAGGCATGCTGGCACAGGGATATACACACACACTTGCGCAACATTCACACACACACACACACACACACACACACACACTTGCTGGATTCACGAAGACTTGTAAACACAAAAAACTGGACTCCTGAAGGTGCATTCAGACTAAAAGTTATTTCTTTGCCTTGCAGCTTAAGGATGGGTGCAGCTGTGCGCTCAAGTTAAAACATGCTCACCTGTATTATTGAGTTGCCATTATGCCACTGACTACGTGTGCAATTGCGCCACCTCTAAAATCTGATTTCCGCTTGGCCTGAACACACCTTTAGATGTGTAATTACAACATCCAGGCATCTACACACACATGCAATGCAGTATTTGAACACACACACTAACTACAGGTTGCATAGTCCCAGTGGATGACACAACAACTGTGTTGGGACATAGTCCTGTTTTGAAACATGGTCGTGCATACAGTATTGTATAACTTCTCTAAAATTAGTCATAGCTGTTTAGCAGTCAACTGAACAGTGAGTACTGTGTTTGACTGTGTAACACATTGTGACAACACCAGGAATTGAACCCTCTGGCTACAGTGGTTGGGAAAATTCCTACATTCATGAGCCATTTTCACAGTTTCAATGGCCACAGAAGTTTATGAGACGATTCATTGAATTTCAAAATATTTGCTCTCTCGCAGATTCTCCGAAGGGAGAGAGCTCGTCTTTAGATGAAGACAGCAGTGATGCTCTGTCACCAGACCAGCTAACCAATCATGACTCTCCTCTGAGTGCCGTCCCTCAGCTGTCCCCCTCTGATGCACTCACCCAGAACGGGGACATGTCCCCTCCACAGGTACTGTCGCAGGATGTAATTTAAATCAAAAAACAAAACAATTGAGATGAAAATTCAAATGAGATGAATTTACCATGAAACAAAGCAAGTGATGATAAAAGTGATCACACTGTTAACTAGAGAAATATCTTTACAGTTCATTACACAGTCCCCTCCTCCACCTCCTCCACCACCTCCGCTCCAGGTAAATGGGTCAGACATCTCCCCATTCCCAAAAGTGACAAATGGGACGATGGTGACCTCGGCAAACTCCCGCCCCTCTACTGGACAGGTCAAGGTAAGGGAATGCTGGCCATTTTCTTCTCTTTCCACCAACACCCTTTTTTAAGTTGAACATCCTGCAGATTTGATGACTTGTGAATAAATCTGACCTTAATCTCTATTTGTGGAGCAGCTATAACTGGCTAACCCTCCCTCGTCTCTTCATTTCTTTACTTCCTCCTCCCCGACCCCATTTCTCACGGTTTCTGTCAGCAGTCTCAGGCTAAGACATGTTCAGACCGTCCTCCACAGAGACCTAAGAAACCAAAGGACAGCAAACCCAAGGTCAGCAAGCTTTTTCTTTGGTTTTCATTTTAACAGGCGCTGACACAGGATTTACAGGTCTGATTGGATTCAAAGAATATTCATCCACAATACACAATAAAACAAATCTGGGAAGTTGTCAGAACTTATTTTTAGGCTGCTTTGTGACTTTTAAGAATTAAGATTGCATCAATCAGATTAAAGAAGGGCCTGGGTTCCATCAGGTTGCTCTTTGTGGTTTTGGTGTCAGTTCCATCAAAGATTGAGACCCGAGGCTTCTCTATAGATTTAGTGTTTTGACATTTAACAATCATACAGGGTGAAATACCTTGTAGAAGAGGAAGAGATAACATTTCTTTGCAACCACAGTATCCTCAATACATGGAATACAGACTTGCATTTTCTGAAACTGGAATTACTTTTGCTGTAGTTATGTTTTTACTGTTGATCTTTCCACGTACATGTACTGAATGCACATACACTTTGTTCTCCAAATGTCCAGAAAGTTTTTTGATTGTGAGAAATCTGTAACTTATGTGCACCAAGACGAGACGTTCACACTGCAAGCCGTAGCGCTCAATTCTGATTTATGGCTCAGATCAGATTTTTTTTGTTTGGCTGTATTCGATATTAGATTACAGTGTGAACAGGTCACAGTCCTGAACTGACTGGCATGATGAATGTTGATCTAGAGAAACATAAAAGTCACATGAATTGTGATATGACACTGAAGTCACATTGCAAAAATCTGATCTGATTTAGAACAACATATGAAAATGGCCCAAATCAGGTTTGAAAAGGTCAAATTCCATGTAAGTCATATATGGGCAAAAAAACAAAAACTGATTTGTGTCACTTGTGCTTGGAGTCTGAACGTAGCCCAACAGTGTAAAGGTACTAAGGAGTTGTCTCCTGGGTGTAGGTAAAGAAGCTGAAGTACCACCAGTACATCCCTCCAGACCAGAAGGCAGACAAAGAGCGTCCACCCCAGATGGACTCGTCCTATGCGAAGCTCCTCCATCAGCAGCAGCTTTTCCTGCAGCTGCAGATCCTCAACCAGCAACAGCAGCACTACAACTACCATACCATCCTGCCCGCCCCTCCCAAGTGAGTGTCAAGCATGACGGATTGCGTGTGTGTGTGTTTGGGTGTGGGTGTGTGTGTGTGTGGGTGTGTGTGTGTGGGGAAGTGAGGATGACTGACTGCAGTGGTTTTATGCTAGTCAACTTGTTTGCCACCCTCCTTTTTCTACCTCATGTTAAACCAGTAGTTATTACCCATAGTTCATTTCTGCAGCACAGCCTACAGGCAGCATTCATTGTGTCTTTCTGTCTTCTTCCAACCTTTTCTGCTGTGGTTTGTTCCTTCCACATTAGTGGTTTTTGGGTGAGTTTATAGAGCCTGGAGCACAAAGCAGGAGTAGTGTTTGAAAAAGGCAAGCTATCCCAACATAGCTTGTGTGGCTTGACAATACAAATTCAAATACAATTCAAATATTAGATTATTGATGCAACAAAACTTAAAATGTCACACTTTCTACCTCCCCTCAGGCCACCAAGTGAGCAGTCTCCCACAACCAACTCTGGCCCTTCCCCTTCCCGCAGTGTACCCGCAACTACAACCCCCACCCCCTCCAATCAGAGCGGGACTGCCCGTCAGAGCCAAACTGCAGTGGGAGGAGCCAAACCAAGCACTCTGCCAGCCAACCTGGATGAGTTCAAAGTAGGTTAAATAGACCACTTTGTCCGGTGACAGAAATGTATCTGCCAAGAATAGTTTTAACTGAATATATATATTATGTTTTATAGTACTTAGGGTTAGGGTTAGGGGTTAACTGCCATTTATGTAAGGAGATCAGGAAGGAGTGTTTATTTTACTTTATTGCTGACTAATCCGGTCTGTAAATAAGTACTTTAAACTTACATACTAAGTTTTTGATGCATGAAGTGAGTTTGTCTGAAGATTGTCTGAAATTAAATATATTTCTATCATCTCAAAAATTATTATTTATATTTATTTATTAATATATACAAAATACTTCTTTACTAGTAATGTCAGGCCTTGCTGTCCCTTCATACCTATATACCCTCCAAAAGTCCCAAAAAACAGTGGCTATTGACCTAAGAGCTCAGATTGTTGTATTTTAGATATTTGTAGAGGTCAAAGTGTCAAAATATTACAGTAAAAAGAGAAAAAAACAATCATAATGTTATGTAATTGTTCTTTCTGGTACCTCTAAACATGTTGTGACCAACTAATAGATTAGATTAATGGTGAGACCTTTGGGGAGTCCCGGCCACAGGTCGGGAACCACTGAGATAAATTATGTTCCACTGAACTATGTTTCTTTGTATTTTACATATCAGGTATTGTGTTCGCTTTCACACTTTGAGTCACTGCCTTCTAAGTAAGAGTGCTGTTCTGGTTTCTCAACCCCCAGGTCGCTGAGTTGAAACAGGAACTGAAATTGCGTGGTCTGACCGTCTCAGGCACAAAGAATGATCTCATTGAGAGGCTCCGCAACTACCAGGAGCAAAATGGCGGCACCGCAGCGGTTTTGAAAAACGGCTTATCGCAGCCCAGTCAGCAGGGTTTGACCTCAGCTGCCAACACCATCACATCCTCTCCAACCACCACTACCATCCATGACCATCAGTCAGGAGAGGGTGGGTTTAGGTTAGCTTTGTCATCATTAGCTCAGGTGGTTCCAGGGCGGGTCATGCGATTTGGCAGCACCAGCTCCAGTCCTCCGGTGTCCCCTAGTCCATCCGAGAGGTCATTGGCCGGGATGAGTCCTGATGAGACGAGCTGTAACGGAGACATGTTTGGAGAGATGGTGAGATCTATAAGTGAAGCAAATATTCTTCATTTATTGTGTTTTTGTTAAAGATGCTGGCAAATAATTAAACATTTCCTTTAAACCTTTTCCTTACATTCTTCTCTCTTTGTCGTCCTTCAGGTGAGTTCCCCCTTGACCCAACTCACCCTGCACCCATCTCCTCAGCACCCATCAAATGTCTCTCCGCTCTCCAAGGTCAAAGAGGAGAACCAGAGCTCATGCTGCCTCTCCAGGCCTTCACCCTCATCATGTCAGCCTCCAGAGCCACTGTCTGGAGTAGCCATGGACACCATGGACAAGGACCAGATGCTCCAGGAGAAGGACAAACAGATCGAGGAGTTGACCAGGATGCTGAGGCAGAAGCAGAGGCTGGTGGAGACCCTCAGGTCCCAGCTGGAGCAGGGCAAGATGGCAGGTGGGATAATGTTGGAGAAGGAAGGAAGCGAGAAGAACAGAACATCCCCAGAGGTTAAACTTCAAACTCTCATAAAAGCCTCCGCCATTCAGCCTCCCACTCTCCCTAACGGCATCGTGGTGAAGGTTAAGAAGGAGGTGGAGCCCGAGGAGGGGATGGAGGGAGTAACAGAGGAGGCTCAGGCAAAGAAACCGGCCCAGCCGATGCAGTGCTCGCAGGAGACTCTGCTCAGGCTCCAGCACATTCAACGGCTTCAGGTCCAACAAGCTGAGCAGCAGAAACAGACGCTGCAGCACAGTCAGGTGCAACTGCAGAAAGTGGCAGAGGCTAAGTCGAACCCTCAAAAAGTACAACAGCAGAAGAAAGAAGCCCAAATCCTGCTCCACCAGCAGCATCAACTGCAGCAGCTCATCATACAGCAAACCCAACAGAAACAGGCCCAGCAGAAGTTAGCACAGCAGAAACTCGCCCAACAGAGACTCAGTCAACAGAAGCTAGTGCAGCAGAATCAGCTCAAACAAACTCAAGGGCAAGTTCAACAGAGCCAGCAGAAGAACCCTGTTCAGCTGAAGCAGGTTCAGGTGCAGATCCAGAAGCCTGCAGTGACTCAAACCCAGCAGAGGAAGCAGCTGAAGGCTCAGCAGAGGCAGCAGCAGAAACGGCAAACGGCAGCTGTCACCACACAGCAGGTAACGTTCCAGCAGCTCCACATAATGAAACATACTTAAAATGTAAAGGTGGGAATTTCACCACATTCAACACCAACACGGTCAACTCTCTGAATGTGGAAGAAATCTTAATGTCAGTGAAACAGAAACATACTCTTTGGTTTCCAGGTGGCTCCAGTCCTCATCAACCAGCAGAACGGCACTCAGATCCACACTCAGGCCATTTCATTAGACCTCCTCAAGGCAAATGGCACGCCGACACTGGTCACCGACAGCAACGGCAACCACTACCTGATCGCCCTCACCAGTAACACCACAGACGGACAGAACGGAGTGTCCTCATTGGCCAAAACCAATGGACGCATCACGCTGCAGGTACAGTAGCACTGATGTTCTTTGGTGGGTTGCACTGGGTTAATAATATGCAATGAAATATTTATTTCTGCTTGTTGTCCTCTTTTAGAGATTGCAGTCGACTCCAAGTAAACTTCCCAGCACTGACAGCCAATCAAAAGAGCAGCCAGAGGCAGAGCCTGAGAGCCAACAAATCAAAAAGGTACAACCAAGGCTAAGTTTATTTATTTATTTCATTGTTTTAAAAACAAGTAGGAACTATTGCCACATATGTAAACAATGATATATATTACTTAAGTATGTCATTGGTTACAAACTAGATTTAAAATGAAATACTGATTGTAGATTGTAGTTAGAATGACCTCTCTGGTCTGTCTTATTCAGTGAAAACGTATTTATAGGCTTACTTCTATTTTGTTGTGTTAATTTATTTTATTTTACTGTTTGATTCATTATACATGATTGTTCGATTGGCAATTAATCGTAGGGTTGGTAAGGTCTACATTTTGAAGTGTCCTTGAGCAAGACACTGAACCTAAATTGTCTACATGGGGGGGGATGTAATGCATCATACTACAGAGCAGCAGGACCATCTGCATCTCCCAAGCAGTAACATCTACCTGCCACAAGGTGTCGCCACTAACTCATGAAAACTGCAGCCTGTTATTCAGAAATAAGAGTTAACTTGCCAATCACCATTGATAATTCAGCATATTGATGTCTGGGGTCCACTCTCTTCACTCAGGGACAGAAGGCGGGGCTGCACCTGGAAACCAATGGCGTGCCACAAACCAGCCAGTCAGTCACCGCTCCACCCAACCTGCAGCCTTTCTTTGACGACATGTCAGACAGTGAAAGCCAAAGCAACTTCACGTCTCTCAAGGTAACGCAAACCTCCTCCTCCCTCTTCATCTCGTCATCTCTACTTCTCAGGCTTCTCCACATGTTGGAAACCTCATTAACTTTTACTCCTTGTTTCTTCTCTTTTCTTTTCATTCCATCACTCCATCCGGGCAGAGAGAGGAGGTGTGTCCACCTTACGACCGGCACACACTGTTCACCCCTCCCTCTCCCAAACCCATCACCTCCCTTCCTACTCAGCGCTCCAAAGTATGTCCTCTAGCACGTCTTTCTTTCCATCTCTTCTTTAGTGTTCTTTTTCTGTCCGTTCCTCCATTTTCCATCTCAGCTTCTCACGCTGAGCTGTGTGCTCATTTTACTGAGTGTAGAAGGCAGTTGGAAAACTTTGGGCGGAGCAGTTGCAGTGGTGTTAGGTTGGATTTACCGTGTGATAGTGCTTGACTGGGAATATGTCATCCATTTGTGTCTCAGTCTTCTGTACTTTGACTTAAGTCACTTAAACTGTACGCATTATGGTAAATGTTTCTATATACATCAGATAGTTGTTATAAACTTGTTGCATTTTGATATGAAAAAGTCACTGGAGGTCAGTCAAGTGTTTCCAGTCAAGTGAAAGTGAGAATCACAAACCACTACACATTGTATTTTGGTCTGTTAAGACCATATAAAGCATTTCTACTCCTGTAGCTTCCAAGTGACTGATACCAAAACCTGTCTTTATTTGCATATAGTCTATATAACGGCATGAAACCAGACAACAGAACTAAAACCTTTCAGTGCCACATCCTTGTGCATTAACTGTAGACTTATGTAGCATGAGCGCCATGTTAGCAGAGCAGCAGCAGTTTCAGTGCTCTGTGTCTACAAAGGATGCGTACAGGCTCTGTATTAAGTGTAGGTCAACCCTCATTTTGACAGCTCAACACACAATCATTTTAGTTCAATTTTCAAATTTTGTGTTGATTCTGGCAGCCCCTTTGGAACCCCCCCCATTTCTGGAGGGAATCTGATCGAATCCAACCCAGTGGCAGGCATTATGAATAACTATATATAAATAGCAAATCTTATCGCTGACGGTCTTGTTTGTTTTTGTGGGTCATATAGAGGCATCAGTATTCAATTGAGACTGTTTCATAACCAGTTAAAAAGTACATTTAAGCTTTTAAAACAGAGGAAAATAAACTTTGGAAAATACGCTTTGGGGTTTGAAAAGTTTGGAAATCACTGCTGTTGAAATATAAAAACTTTTGCACGCTGCATGTAAATTGTGCTCTAATATTATGTCGTTTAAGTGTGGCCAGTTATCCACAGAGATAAGACAAATGCTAACCAAAGAGCACACGATGCAGTGTTTTCAGATGGAGTGTGTGTTGCAGTGCAGGTTTGTCTGCTGTGGAGAAGTCGGTGGAGCTGTGTTTACTGTGTGTGATTGGTGGCTGACTGATAACGTCTTCTTTGTCAGCAGGAGAACGGCATGAACAGTCAGCAGATGGACGACCTGTTTGACATCCTGCTCAAGAGTGGAGGTAATGAACTGTTACAAACATTGATGAGAGACATCATGAGTCTGCTGTCTCCTGTGCTGATGACATTTTTCTCTGTCCGTCCTCCTTCAGAAATCCCCGGCTTCAAGGCCAACCCGGACCCTTCCCTCGCCCCTCTCCACTCTAACCCGCCCTCCCCATCTTCTCCCCCGTCTCCCCTCCACCTCTCCCCTTCCACCCCTACGGAGCCCCTGATCTCCCCTCCGCCTTCCGTGGGAGAGTCCTGCACAAGCAGCGGCCGTCTGGAAGACTTTCTTGAGAGCACCACTGGCGCCCCGCTGCTGGGCGTGGAGCCCGACGGCGGCCTGACGCTGATCGACGACCTTCACAGCCAAATGCTGAGCACGCCCAGCATCCTGGACCATCCTCCCTCCCCCATGGACACGTCTGACCTGGGCTTCTCCCCGCACTCTACAGGGCTGGACTTTGGCGACCCCACTCTGGACAGCATGGACTGGCTGGATATATCCATGGTGGGGAGCACCCTTGGAGGGAGCGGGGGCAGCGGAGGGGGGAGAGGAGAAGAAGGAGGAGGAGGAGTGGGAGCTGGCGACGGGGGTACGAGCCTGGCCCCGCTGGCGCCACACACTCCGCCGAGCGTCTTCTCGACCGATTTTCTGGACAGCACGGACTTGCAGCTGCACTGGGAGTCATGCCTGTAGCCCCCGCACACACACGGACACGCGCTGGCTCACACTGTGTACAGGCTCCGTCTTTATTTCATGCACATACAGAAACCTTTTCTATGCTGTCTCTACCACTGCGGGGGTCACTGGCACATGCAAACACACACACACACACACACACACATTTACACAGTTTGCCCTGTCTTTCACTGGCTGTTACTGTATGCAGGATGAGGTGAAATAAGAAAGAAACATAGACATTAAATTCATAGAAGGACTTGAACTGAAGTGGACTTTTTGAGATTTAATTCTATGGGGATCCACACAGCCTGCTGTTCATTTCCTGTGTCCTGCATTATAACCAGGTTAAAGTGAACCAGCAGGAAACTAACTGTAGGTCACTGTAATTCAACATTTCAACCCTTGGAAACGGTTTGATGGATTACAGCAGAGGAGGGGCTGTCAGTGGCGTTTACTCGGGCTCCTCGAGATAGCAGAGTGTGTGTCTGTCAGTGCCTCCTAAACTTTGCACTTATGCTGAATCTGATTGGTTTAAAGGGGGGTGTTCAGGTCAACGGCCGAAATCTTCAGCGCTATCTGCTGAGACTGCCAAGTGTTAGGCTGATCAGCTGAGCCGTTGGTGGTGTGAAAAGAAAGGCAGCTGTTGGTGACCTTGTCGCCTCACCGTGACAACCTGAACCCCGCCCGCACTAGTCAAAAAAAAACTAAAAAACAACCATCATTGGTTGATAGTTGCTATTGGAATGAACCATATCAGTGGCAACAGTTTGAATTGAAGCCTCAGTGGAGGTTGCGTATTATTGGTAACATTATGGTAGACCACTATGTATTGCTGTATATGGGGTGTATATTATCAATTGTCCATATGACTATTTTTCTTTGCTGGTTGCTTTAGAGTCGAGCTAGCCGGCTGGGGAACGTAGGGTAAGGGCGGGGCTTCAAAACTACTTGGACCTTGTCATTTTTTTAAAGAAAAAAAAGTTAAAAAAATAAACATACTATAAAAACTCAAAAGATGCATCTGTTTTTCTTTTACACACTGTCACAACTGATAAACTACAAAGCATTCCATATGAGACAAAAGACAATTAGTGCTTTATTCATGTTGATTAGTTTATTATTAATTACTGTCATTAAATTATTAGTGAGCTGCTCCTCTGGTACTTTATGGTTATAGCAATCCTGTTGTTAAAGAGAAAGGCCACAAGAGGGCACCATTATAAAGAAATCAGCTGTCTCAAACCATCCTTTAGAAGCCATCTGGATAAGTGGAAGGTCACATATTAGATTTGCTTACAACAACTGCAAATACAAATTTGGCTCCACAGTATTTTTTTGGCTTTGTCTATCCTTTATAGTGAAATGAATGTTTAGAAACTACAATGGTTAGACCTGCAGTTTCACATTTGTTCTGAACTCATGAATCAGTCTTCCTGTTCTCTACTGCCATTGTGTGCGTTTTTTCTGTTGTTTTTATCCTAACATGACCTTCCAACTTAAAGTTTGGGCATGCCCAGCACCCTGGACCTGACGTGTGATTCCTGTAACTGCTCTATTCTCTGTCAAAACCAAAGCTCACTCTGCTTCTATTAGTGGAGGAAGTATAAAGGTTGTTTACTTAAGTAGAATTACTTATAACACACTGTAAAAATACTCCATTACAAGTAAAAGCCCTGCATTCAAGTAAAAGTACTCAATGCAGAAAAATGGCCACTGTGACTGATATACTACTACATATTATATTATTATATTATTATTACCAGTGCATTAAGATGTACGCTGCATTTTACTGATGTAGCTAGTTGAGGTAGAACTCTTTATTTTTAACAATTTAATATTAGGCTGCAACAAATGATTATTATCATTATGGATTAATCATGCATTATTTGATTCATCTGTTGATTGGTCTGTCAGGAAATGGTGAGAAATTTCCATCACCATTACCCAGAGCTTCACACACTTCACATAAATGTACATTAAAAGGTACATTCCACCACTGTCTAATCTCTTATTGTGAGTTGCTCTGCATAAGAGCTTCAATCAAGCACCAGAAAGATTTAACTTCTTTGTTTTGAAAGCACTTTGTCCCCTCCTCCCCACTGTCCCTGGTGGTAGGTGGGTTTCCCAGACACACATGCACATTGAAACTCTTCATCATTTACACCTTTAAATATGATGCAGTCCATCACAACACCAGCAGGAAGCACAGCCTCAGAGATTAACAGTCTGATCAACCCTCTGAACATTCTCAGTGAGCTAGTATACAGATGTGTTGTATTGTACTGCTCTACATTCTACAGGTGTTTTTTATGTTTCTGGTAACTCAGCGCAGGTATTCATTTAAAAACCTCGCCAAATGAGGCGCCCTGGTAGCTTACCTGGTAGAGCTTGTGCGCCATGTACTCCGGCTGAGTCCTTGCTGCAGTGGCCTGATTTTGATTCCAGCCCTTTCTCTCTCCCTCCCCACTTTCATGTCTCTCAGCTGTTCCTTTCTAATAAAGAATAAAAGCCCCAGAAATAATCTTAAAAAAAAATTGTTTGCAGAACAAATGCTTTAAAGTCGACTCTTCACTCTGTGATACTTGGCTTCCTTTTGTGCCTTCTCTGCTGCTGTTAATGACTCCATTTACACTCAGTAATGGCTGTGATTGAGATGTGTAGTGAAGCGTACAACTGCAGTCAAACACACTTCAGGAAAATCGCAGTCTCCAAAATATGGCTAAGTGTGAAATAAACTAAAACCTCCTCAGATAAAGAATCAGTTGTGACTGATTTTCCTTCCACTGGCAGCTAACATACTTGTAGACTGTTGTATAACACTCTCTGAGACGAGAATAATATCTTATGGCTGACACACACAGTTATACACCTATGGCGTCCTCGCTCTTTGCTGTTGTGTTGCATTTGGTCGCCTCTTTTTTTACACCTGCACTCGTCAGTTCAACAGAACTGCAGAATATTGTCTGCAGGTTCCTGGTGAGACTTTCACACTTATCCTCTGAGTCAGAAAATGAAACAGACACTCTGACACTTTCGGTTGCACTTGACAAGCTGTATTCACAATCCATCAGTTCACGTTAAAAGAACGGCTTTAGGGTGAGTAGATTATTTTTCTTATTAGGGACTGTACACAAATTATTGTGACGGAGCTGCTTTTTTTCTACCTCCAGCTAATATTCTTAAGGCAAACATACCTAAATATTGAAATTTCCTCTACTATCTATTTTTGAACAAGAAGCTGATAGATAAACAGTATATGTATCTCTCAACACACCTCCAGAAAACATATACAACTAAATCCCTGATTACTGATATGATGAACTGGAGTGGGAATGAAAATAGACCTTTTCTGTGTGCAATGATTTTTGATCGATAGATTTTAGTTTACATGTCGAACTGTTCTAGTTGAGGCTGCTGCTACTTTTCTCTTACTCTGTGCTGCTTGCTAGCACAGCACACTCTGCTGGCTAAACTTTACAGGGACGCCAATACATTACCCAAAGCATTTTTTCTGCGTTATATATTTTGGGAAAACAACAGTTTTCATATCGGATAACATATAAATTGATACCAATATGTCTGCAACAGGCCAATATCAGCTGATGATATCAATATATTGGTCGGACTCTGCATGAAACCTTCAATTTGATTTAACAAATTTCTATTCAGAAAATCACACATCACAGAAATGTAAAATGTGACACAAAATAGAAATATGGCGTGAAAAAAGATACACCTACCTCCCCAAATTTGTTGGCAGTCAAGTTGCATTGTGGGAAATGCAGGCGCAGCATGGAAGAAGAAAGTATAGAATAAAAAATATCATATGTCTTGCTCTGCTGCATTTATTTTGTAACTCCATCATGAGTTTGAGAATGTATAAGAGCGCAATGCTAAATTGTTGGAGTACTCTTTTATAATCTTAAACAATATATTAATACTTTCCAAAACAGATACTGGTGATATATTAGACATATAGTGGTGGTATTTTGGTGTTTTGTTTTGTTCTTTATGGGGATAACTGGCCAAAATTTAACCAGATCTTTATTTATTTCCTACAGGCAGAGGTGGTGTCAGGGTTGGAATCAAACAACAAGGGCGTCTTCCTAGTTCCAACATTTTGCTCCATCACACTCTGCAGGGAGAAATCCCTCCATGAAAAGAGACTAATTTCTACCAACAGGCCAGAATTTAAGGGTGAAGTGTTAGTAATTATAGAGCTCTTGTTTCAAACAGTGAGGGTAAAGTTACCTCTTCATCATTCTCCTCGTTCTTTTCTTTGCAATACCGGACTGAATCGAGCTCTAATGCCCTGTTTGACTCGCTCGCTCTTTCAAGTTTCACTCAGCCAGCCCCTCATCATCTCTCAAAGACCCTGATGAGCCCTGGGTAGCTCTCACACACACATACACACACACTGAATCCAACACACACAGATATTCAATGCACAGCACGCAAACATGCAATCAGCTCAGTACGCTCTTACAGATTCACTTCCACACACACACACACACACACACACACACACACACCCACACAGGTCACAGCAGCTCCCCAGAGCAGCATCGGTACCATCTCTCTCTCTCTCTCTCTCACATACACAGAGCAGATAAAAGTCCAGAGGCCATGCCACTAATTAACTACAGTGAGCTCCAAAGGGCCGCAGCGCCACAAGGGCTAAAGATCTCCTCTGTATTCCACATCTCGCTGACAGGAGGGCGCCACCCTGCAGCCCGCAGACACGCATGATTTTTAATCACACGTGCTCAGAAAACCTTTTATCACTGAAATGTGAACGTTGCAAGAATGAAAGAAAGTGCTCAAAGAGACTGCCATCTTTGCTTTGAGATCGAGTTGTGGGTGTCAATGGGGTGCTGGGAAAGAGAAACATTCAAGCATTTATTGTAGTACTGATTATATTTTATTCTAGGTTACTGCCCTTAAAGGTCCACTGTGTAACATTTAGGAGGCTCTATTGACAGAAATGGAATATAATATTCATATTTATGTTTTCATCAGAATCACCTGAATATAAGAATCATTGTGTTTTTGTTAACTTAGAATGAGCCATTTTTATTTACAGAGGGAGCGGGTCCTCTTCCATGGAGGCCACCACGTTAAACCGCCACGTTTCTACAGTAGCCCAGAATGGACAAACCAAACACTGGCTATAAATAGGGTCTTTCTCTGTTTTTGCAAGTTTTGCAGCCACCGTAGTTTCTCTTCACGCTAGAAAGGTGAGCTGTATTCAGTAAAAGCAATCTGCAATTTCATGTCTCAAATATGCTTCTTTCTATTCTATTGCTTGCTGAGAGTAAGAAGATCAATGCTACTCTCATGTGGTCTGTGCTTGACCCAGGAAGTGATCAGCTTAGTTTAGCATAAAGACAGGAAACAGGTGGAAAAAACCTTTTTTCGTGCTGGAATTATTTTTTAGCAAACGAGCGACCAGCCGGGTGCAGTGACTTCCTGAAGTTGCCGTTCACAGCGATGAAAGGACTCCAGGAACAGCATTTAAATCTCTATTTCCAGGTGATGCAAGTCGTAACCACAATCTGAAATAGTTATACAATGTTTTGAATCCACAGTTTTATGTAACCGTGACATCTTAAAAAATGCAAAACCTTTCGAGCTAATTTAGCCCGATCTGAGTCCTGGATGTCTTTTGACTGACTTGATTGATTGACTCCAAGCTAATTAATATTAATAACAGCTCATAATTGAGGACTTGCTAAAGCTTGGGGTCCTAAGTATTTCAAAATCTATTAAATTACTGGCTGATGATGTTATAATCTTTGATTATTTACACAAGCGTGATGTGGAAATTGGAAACTACACAACAACCAACAGTACAACAGTGAAGTACACATCTTATATGTAGAAGTTAAACCATTTAAATGACAGATATTCACATATTTATAGATTCAGGGTTTTTAAATGGGTGGGAAGGGGAAGATGTAGTTTTAATGATTTGAAAATTTTACTTTTTCGTGGAAAATCTATTAAAACACAGA